ACAGGCAGTGACAGGTTTCATCGCGTGGGGAAGGCCGAATACTCTCACTGGCCTGAAAGAAAAATTCATTTATTAGGAAAACTATCATTTGGACATTATAAATATTTTACTCTTAGTAATCATTTTAGTTTTCCTTTTTCACTTTCAACTTCACTAATTTCTCACCTGGAATGAAGAGGTGTTGCGAATCCTCTTCTCGCCCCACAAGCTGTAATCGACGACGTTTCACCTGTCTCTCGTTGATTACGGCTGCACTTGACCTCGGACACCAATCGAGGCCATGCAGCTCCAATGCTGCCGTCTTCTGTGCAGCCGTAAAATCGGGTGGCAGCAAGAGATAGTGTCCACAGCGGACACAAAAACCTGCAATATGCGTAATTATGAAAAGTGATGCAAAATAATAAATTTTAAATTGGATCATAACTAGAAATTTCGTTCTAAATTACTTACCGTCTTGCTTGTGCATTCTCGAAGCATGAATGCGCCACCCTTTGATCGTTTCAAACTGCCTGTCGCAGATACCACACACTGAAAATAGAAATTATTAAAAAGCTTTGTTACACAAACTGTTTCTTCATCGATTTATGACTGATATTTTAATAAAGAAAGAAATCTTTTTACTTTCATTCATAAATATGATTTGATCACTGATAAATCAAAATATGATAAATTTCTAAGTCAGACGGAGATATCACTTGATCTCCGTCTGACTTAAAAATCACTCGATACGCAATAAAAATTATTAAAAATTATAAAAATTAATAGCTTACCGATGCTATTGTTTCCTTCTCCTCGAGCCACCGTGTATGGTTCTGCCCGCGGCACCTGCAACTCCTTCCGAAATTGCTCCGGAAGATCCCCTAAATCTGCGGGGCAAAATTCTTCCGGTGCTGCCGCGGCCGACGTTCCCTGCATGGCTAAGACCGGAATTGTGATCGTCCTTGACCTTCTGAAACAGGCTTCAATTTAATAAAAATTGTCGAGAACAAGCTCGAAATTCCACTAAAAATAATCTTTGCATCGAACAATCCAATTAGGTACCGTACTTGAGGCTTTCCCATCATTATAATCTTTCGTTATGTCATTTACATGATTTATCTTATCATATTGACCCCGTCCCGTATTCTTACAACTCACATCACTACATAAGGTCTGAGTTTTGATCAGACAGTCAGATTCTTTCAGGATGGATTCTTTCAATGGATAGTTTTCTGTGAGTCACAGTTTAGTTACGACTTAATCACCCAACTTTGAGCATTTTGCTTCAATTATATAAGTTCAATAAACCAATTCTTCAATCACTCGTTTTAACAAGCAAATCCGTTCCGATACCAATTTCTACATCAGTTGCAACACCTTTAGTACCGACACTCAAACCCAATTCGAGTCAAGCAATTAAACTCAAACCAAGCAATCAATCCAAGCTAGACCCAATCATTCAAACCAAACCAATCTCAAACCAACCCAATCCAAACAAATTCACAACAAAAGTTACTTAACTATTTTATGTAACACCTAAAATAATAGCTGCTGCTCTAATTATTACTTAACTATATATTTTTCCAAAATTTAAAACTTACAGGACGAGTTCCCGAACAGCCTCTTCCGGCCCTTCATTGCCACTCGCCACCATTGGTGTCGCCGATACCTCGGGCTCTTCACTTTCATCATCCGGCAGAGGGGACCACTCTGCTCCGGATGGCCAATATTCTTGGTCCTCATAATCGGGCAGAGGAGCCCACTCTGCCCCATCTTCGCTGAATCCTGCCTCCTGAGGTATCGACTCCTCGTCCATTTCTTCCTGAGCGTTTCGCTCTTCGAGCTCCTCCAACCTCCTCTCCGCCTCCTGCAAGCGGGTTTGGAGCTCAATCTCGAACTGAAAAGGCTACATTTTAACAACGTTATATTGAAATTATAACACGGCGCTTCTTACGAACTTTTTTCTCGCCGCAATTAATTTATGACAAAAAGAAAAAGAAAGACAAAAAAAGATGGAAAAACACTCACCCTCATTCTCTCGTTCATATATCTCTGTAATGCATGAAGCATTACAGGCTCCCGTTCCAGATAGTTCCATACGTCAAAAATATTCAATTGTTCGACAGGAGCACTCATTCTCTAAAATTAACAAAATTAACAAATCATTTAATTTATACTTCAATCCACTTAAAATACGTGCGATTACAGATCGTTAATACAACTTACAGTACACGCTACTACCCATTAAACTCGCTACAATAAGATCAGAAACCGTACGTTAAAAAAATTCAACAATTGGTTAAAAAAATTAGTTTAACACTGATGAGGACATTTCCATCTAACAATCCCCCCCCCCTCCCAAAAAAAAAAAGAGACAATCTTCTGTTCTCGACGATATATACAATTATATCCCAAAAAAGACGACCATCTTCTGTTCTCGACAATATATACAATAATAATAAACATTCTCTATAAAATGATCAAAAAGATAACGAATTAGAAATTGCTCTATCTTTTTGACCATTTTATAAAGAATGTTTGTTACTGTTGTACACGAAATATTTGATACTACCCAATTTGCTCTTCGTATATTACATACTTTGTGATCAGTAAGGTCGATCAGTAACGGTGATCAGTAACTCTCTGTTAGAAAAGAAAGAAACCGATCTCTTCTTTTTTATCACAAAAAGAAAAGAAAAAACAATTCTTTGAATATATTCTAGGAATATGAAATACTGACATTACTTGTAGTTTTGCTATTTGTGATATGTACCATTTTTGGATTATTAAATGAGAGATTTCTTCAGCAATTTTTCTTTTCATATTTTAATTTCACGTTTAATACATTTAAACCGACCAATCAAATAATTGTTTACTTTTTTTCGTTATTTAAAGAAAATGCTTTTAGAAATGTCTATCAGTAATGTTTTTGTATGGATAATCCCATCTTTTTTTTTGGCAAAAACCTCAAAAGTTTGTTCTGACTTTAATGGCTTCAAGAATAAATTTCCTGTATTATAAATGTTTATGAGATAAATACAAAGTAAATTAGCATTTCAATACTGGCTGAAATTAATCTGAATGCTCGGCGCTATTATACTCATTTGCGCAATTTGTCGAGGTTTCAATATCATGCACAGAATTAGTTGCTAATTGTTTGAATTCTTTTCAGCTGCAGTTTTTCTAAATGTTCATTAAATAGATTTAAGCTCTTTAAGGCTTGCACAAACACAAAGTTGATCTCAAATGTTTTGGTTGGATATAAGGGTAATAAAGATAACTTGCAAGGGTAATTGCTATTCTGCAAGTTAATTAGGTAGAAATATTTATTAGGAATAATTCAATGAATCCATAAATGCCTTATTCAAAAATTCAAATTAAAAAATTCATTCATAAATACTCTCATTCAAAAATTGAAAATAATAATTTCTTTTTGATTGAAATCGCAATTCACTTCACAATATGTTGAAATGATAAAATATTATGTATTTTATAAATCTGCATTTATTATAAATTTTAATATATCAATTATAAAAATGTCAAAATTAAAAGATTGTTTAGTGCGCTCTGTCGTATGACATCCAGCAGAACTGTCAGGTATGGCACGGACAGACATGGTGCTAGAAATGATGTCAAACGTGATGCCAACCAGTTCCGGTACCACACGTGGTACCAGAAGATTGATGAAATGATGGGTAATTGGTTGATAAGCAATTCCACCAATAGGTTCTAATGTTCGGATACTATGTGTAGTAGCAGGTATGCATTTTTTTCTTTTTTTTGTTCACCTCATCTCTATATGAAATTGAAGTATTACCGAAAGCAGATTGCATCTCAGTCGATTATTCAGTTATCCATTTTAGTGCAACGCAGCTTGACAACTGTATAAATATGCAACGATAAATCAATCAATATTCCGCAATACTGATCCTTTCGTTTATTTCATTTCAGCCGCGGAGGTTATCACAGATTGTGGGATGGGATGATGACCGAGCATTGACGACAAAATGAGTGGAACAACGTAAATTTACATCATACAGCATTGAGTGATTGGCGCTAACCCTGAACTACAATGGTTTTTTGGAAGTAATCCAAGAACCGCTGAAAAATTTCAGAACTAAGTTCAAGTTTTATTTCCAATTGCAATTTTTTTGCATTTAATTTATCTCAAATTTGAAAGTAAATTCGAAAATTTCAAAGAGATACGAATTACATTGTCGAAATTTCCATTTAAATCCGTCTCCTTGCACATTACTTGTAACTCACCATATAGTGTTATTTACAAAATATGCAAAATTTTCCGCAACTTTTAGCCATTTTTTTATTCAAATTTTTTAATTCGCATGCAATCAACATCTTCCGTGGTTCCCGAATAGTCTTATTCCGACAAGTTATCAGTCCGGTAAGTGGTCGTTTCCACTTTTCCTGTCATCATTTATTTATGTAACGGTGATTTTCGAAAACATTTATTTTCACATTTAACATGCTTATCATATATGAAGTTACGTTCATGTGATTATATAATAACATTTATAGTAGATATGGATAACCTTTAACCTTTTT